AGTGTTGAAAGAGGGCATTTTTCACTTGGAGGACAAAGGTACACCAAGCCAGGGTGTTTTCAATCTCCTCACACCCATGTGACATTTGGACAGTAGGGACGACCACAGAAGAATCATGCCTTTGAACGACGGTGCTCGCCGAGAATCCTGGAAGTATCACAGACAGCCACAAGAACACACCAATCGCTCTTGGAGGAAGTGCATTCAGAAAGCTGCTTGGGAGTGATGACAGTGAAAGTTCATCTCGTGAACTCTGACACGTTTTCTGGAGAAGCACATGGGGATCAGCAGGGGCTCAGTGGAAAAGAGGAAGACCCTGGACCAGACGGAGTGCCAGTGACGGCAACTGCAGGTCGAGCATAACAACCATTGTGAGGGTGAGAGCTGACTGGGCCGTGTTTCCTGGTGTTGTGCATGGGGTCACCTGGAGTCAGAGCCAAGTTGGCAACACCTCACAACAACAACAACAACACACTTCTGAGAGATGAAAGTTGAGCAAACGTTCAGCTCAGTGAGTGCCCCCAGATTAGCCACAGACCAGAGCAGAGGTTTCAGTGGAAATTGTGAAAACAGTAGGATCCGGACCTGCAGCATTTCTTGGAGGAACTGTCGCAGGAGAGGAAGCACATCCTCACCAGCTCCTTCCTGAAGGCAGAGCACACACTACACAATGGTTGCCATGAGATGGAAGAGGCAAAGTCAAAGCCAAACAAACTAGTCTAAAGCAAAGGTCATGGCAACAATTTTTTGTTTTGCTTTTTTTTGGGGGTAGGGGGAATACTGAAGGCATTTTAAAAAATCAATCATGTTTTCAGGAAGCTTACAGATCTTATAACAATCCATAATGCAATTGTATTAAGCTCACTTGTACATATGCTGCCATTATCATTTCCAAAACATTTTCTTTCTACTTGAGTCTAGCATCAGCTCCTCTTTTTTCCTCTCTTCCCGCCCCACCCCATGAATCCTTGATCAATCATATATTATTTTTGTTATTTTGCATCTTCCATAGCCCATTGTTTCCCTTCATCCACATTTCTATTCTTAGGTCCCTGGGGGTGGGTGGGTTATGTATCCAATCTTGTGATCGGTTCCCCTCAGGCATTTTTTAGGAATCGCTGGTGGCACTATGAGTTAGGCATTGGGTTTCCAACCACAAAGTCAGTGGTTCACACTCACCAACTGCTCAAAGAAGGAAACCAAGGACCATTAGAAAATATCAATACGTTTTTCACATTAAATTTTTTCCAAATAGAAATAAATGTTTAGAAATGATGATGGCAACATATGTACAAATATGCTTGATACAATTGATGTATGGAATATTATCTGAGCCAATAACATGACTAAATTTTTTTCTTTCTTCCCTACCCCCCTCCCCCTAAATTTTTTTCTTTGATGATTTCAAAGGTAGGAAAAGGAGAGAGGAAGGGAAGTCATGGATTAGAAGGCAGGCAAGTGCTAATTTGGGTGAAAGGAAAGGCAATATATAATAATAAAAATACAACTTCCCTTCTATCAAGTCCATGCGGGCTCATAATGGCCCTCATAGGACAGGGTCGAACTGCTGCCCCTGTGAGTTTCGGCAATTGTAACAGTTACTGGAGTAGAAAGCCCACCCTTCTCCCTGTGGTAGTTCCATAATCTGTTGTCCATTTGAGACTTAAGAGTGAAGGGGTGGAGTTTAGCCTGTCAATTAGATCACAGCTTGATGTCCTCACTTGGAGGCTCTAAGGAGATAAATAGCTTGCTGTAGGCAGGACACATGCTCACTTCCTGAGAGACATTCCTGTTGACAAGACACATGGAGCTACACTGATGAAGCCCTGGAGTTGGAGGAGCCACATGGAGACCCCTGCCAACACTGAGATGCTTCTACTGCCTCAGGATCCCCAAGACTTTCCACCCACTGGCCCGTGATCTGCCTGCACTTGGTGTCATTGCATAGCTGTGTGAGTCTAAAGAGGAGTTTATGGACTAGTATCTACATACGGGTAATAGCGGACGTCTGGACAAGATCTGCACTGGGCTGGGATGTTTTCTTAATGTACAATTGCTCTTTGATATAAAACTCTCTCTCAACACACATGAGTGTCTCTGGAT